AGGTAATTTGTCATAAATGTACATGCATTGGTACTAGCCAACGTAGTGAAGTAAACTTAATAAGATGGCATGATCGATCATATCGAAGGCCTTTGAAAAATCGAGCATTACTAAAATTGATAGTTTGTTAGCATCCGTCGCAGTAAAGATATCATCAGTTAGATTTAACAAGGCAGTCGTACAGCTATATCCATTTCTGAACCCAGATTGCGTTTTTGGCAAAATACAATACTTATCAACATGACTTTGCATCTGATTAGCTACCACCTTTTCCAATACCTTCGACAATACGGGGAGTATGCTGATGGGGCGCAAGTGATTAATATTTTGAGGGTTGTTATTTTTTGGAATGGAACCACATTAGCCACTTTCCAAATATCAGGTACCGTGTTAGATCTAAGACATACGTTAATGATGTACGTGATGTAAGTAATGATAAGCGGACAACATAACAGTAGCATATCAAGACTTATGCCATCTTCGCCAACGGCTTTTGACTTAATATTATATATTCATGACTTCAATGTTTGAAACTTGTTGAAATTGTAACGTGTCGCGAAACTCACACATAATGTTATTTGTGTAAAAGTGTAGTAAGTCATTGTTTATAGAATAATTATGCTTGTAAATAAACGCTTCGTTTAAATTATTCGCTTGGTTCAGATGTAAAGGAATTTCTACATTGCGCGATTTTGAGTATATATCCAACCGTTTAAGTTCCTTCCATAGATTAGACAATTTACTAGTCCTGATGTGGTAAGCTAAATAGGCTTTTTTTTCTTTTTGGATGGCGTATTTAGTATAATTACGCATCATTTTGTAATAATCCCAGTGTACGCTATTGTTGGTTTTTTTAAATTTTTTTAAAGCTTTATCTCTTAGGGACATCATAAGTCTTATATTGTCAGTCAGCCATGGGGATTTCGGTTTGGTTATACGTACCGTTCTCAATGGTGCATGAATATCAAAGATGAATAAAATAAGCGAATTAAAATAATTTACGATGTCGTTGATATTATGAAGTTCATACAGATAATACCAATTGACCGACTGCAAGAGATCGTTGAACTCACAATTATTAAATTTGCTAAAATTTACAAGTTACAAGCATACTATTTTCTGTTATTTTAATCATGCACCTCAATCGACCCTAAACAGTTTTTGTACCGCAGTAACAAGGAGTTAGAGAGGAGGTTATTAGAATTGCGCATACGGCCGTTCTAGCATGTTATGGTGTAAAGCACCACACCATGTCATTTGTCAATGTGAGGCTTACACAAAAGCAAGGGAACGGCTACTTGAAAATGAAAAAATTACACAAGAGAAAGTAACGAAGGTTCGTCCTATCCAATTCCTGGACTTGGTAAAGATACAGGTATTTTGGAAAGGTAGACAATACCGGGTAGCACAATAGATCAAAAGGTCGCAGTGTAGGAACCGACTGATACTATCCCCCAACTAAAATAATAATAATTAGAGCAAAGAAAATACGTGCGCTTTTCGAAAATACCCCCAGAATTATTGGTTTAGCCGCCCTTGACTTCTTGGGAGACTGTTGAGTTGATTTGTCTCAGTGTAATAATATACAATAAAGTTAGTGAATTGAATGATGTCAAAATGATAAGAAAGTTGGAACCCAAGATACAATAGCGGATGTTTAAAGGTATAGGTACGGTCCAAGTATCATGCCGAATGTTTTTTTGTAATTTTAGGTAAGTAATTATATCTATATTATTGGATAGGATTTCGTTTTTCAAATTTTCCTGGAAATTGTACTATATTGTGTAGGGGAACCCGGGGTAGAACGGGGTACTTAACGTTTGAAATTTTTTTTTGAGAAAATTTAACTACATATCCTTACCATTTTTCCTTGGAAGTTAATTTGATGTTATTTCCAACGATTGTTACAAAAATATTTCATTATTTCCTTTTCTGAATTTTGGTATTTATTTTTTTGTCCAAATGTGCACAATTCCCCGTTGTGCCCCACCTATGGGGCACATTGGGGTACATGTGAATATAGCCATTCAACATACACGTGGGGCGGAACGGGGTATGCCCGGGGAGGTACGGGGTATGCCCGGGGCGGGACGGGATATACCCCGTTCACCCAACTTCCTCATCAAAGTCTCTAATATCGTTAAAATGAAGGGATTCACTCAACGCTAATACGTAGGTCGTAGGTGTGTAGTTTCAGACAATACAGAATTGTACGCAAAAAACTTTAGGTAGTTATTACTTTAATTAGCAAACAGAGATAAAAAAAAGAGACTTAGATAACATGTTGACAATTGAAATGTTGAAAATAATACCTTATGTAAGATATTTGATAGACGATACAAAACAAAAATCGCCAGATGTAACCTTCCTGCAATACGGTAGTTTCCCGGTGGGTAGCGCGGTTTATTGAACGAATTAAAAATAATAGTTTTCCCGTTTTCCGATATAAATGTAACTTGTCACAGGAAGGTATATGATGTGCTTGTTATATCTGAGGAAATTCTTGATCTAGAAATGTATAAAAATGCAAAAGAAAGATAAAAAGAAAGAGCAGCACTTTGTAGATGTTGACGTAACTGCCAATTGTTCGCCAATGAAGTAACCCCTTTTCCATCACACTGACAGTACCACACAGCGCTTCCTAATTAGTAGGTTCCTCCCCCTTATAATTCTGGAAATTCTGAAAGCATTAATAGCGCAAATGGTTATTTCAGTGGCATCAGAAATCATCTAACAGGCGTACTATCAGTAAACCATTTATTCTCACAACACAAGGTATTCCCGAACCAGGCATTATAAACCATTTATGTCCCATCTTCGGTTCCAAAAGGGTCTCATACTTCCATATTTCTTCGCCAGTAGTGTCATTTTCCTAACTCTTATGTAAATAACTTATTACGTTCTTCATGAAAGTTCCAACGATTTTTAATCAGCACAATAATTCCCGTGTGTAGGTTTTTTTAAGGACAGCCTAGTTTTTCTTCCACGCTGAGAGGTACAACAATCTTGATTGGCTTTTAAAGACAAATGGTTGACTTAATTATTATCGTATTGGAGAAGGCGTTAAATTTAATAAAGAATAGGGGGATTAATCTGCAAGAAAAATTTTAAAGGATTCGGTTCTGATGGGCGACTGGGCACTCGTTATCGTATCTAGTGAAGGACCAATCAATTAAACGTGTCGATGTTAAATTTTTGTCAGCTAGAAAGGACCGTATATTGTTGTTAGGTTGAATTTCCTAGCGAATTATAACTTGAAACTATTCCATTATTTGATTTTTAAGTCAATATATTCGAAACTGCGTTGTGAACAAGTAATTTAGAAGTGCAGGGTATGAAGTTAATTTTAAAAAAGAATAAAAGAGAACTCTTCAGTACGTCACCGTAAAATTTATGTCAAGGGTTAGCCGGAGGGGTCACTCAAAGGATTAAAAGTCTTCAACTTGCGTGTTCAAACTTTTTGGGCTGATAGTAAACTATGCAAGTCTTAGGGTAAAATACCATCAATAATGATTAAATTGTTTGGGAACTGTTCCATAATATAAGCGCGAGTATCAGCGTTTCCTCTCTGCGTTAAGCATAAGCAAAGAGTAACTAATAATTCTTTGGCATAAGTAAGAAATATACTAATTCCTCAAAGTTTATAGGTTTAAATTTCCAAATTAGCGCACTCCTTCATTTAGAAATTACAAGGCACCAGAATCTAGTATATTGAATTTCTGGTAACGGCACCTTTGACCCTGATGACTGTACCGGTTAGCATGGGATGTGCACGAGATAATTTTTTGAATTTATGTTATTAGAAGTAAAACTGGCCAGTTTTTGAAATGTTTAATAGGTATTTTCATTAGGTACCTAATGCCTTTATATAATGTAAATCCTCTCAAAGTAAGTAGCTTTATCAGAAATGAAAAGTAGGGTATATTTGCTTCTTACACTTTTCCCTATCTCCAATAATAAAAGAGATATACGCTTGGACACGCAAAATCGATCACACTGTATAGTGGATTTGGAGTTCTGGTGGGTTTTTTTTCTATTCTATTTCTTTTAACTCCAAAGTAAATCCACCTTTGGGATATTTTCCTGTGTTAAACTACTTAACTTCAACCGTACAAAACACTGCATCTACGGTAGATCTAGTTCAAATTTTTCTAGCAACAACCAACCATGTGCAAATACCTTGGCTATGATAACAATTTCTTTCAATGGTTGTCTACTCCCACTTGTTTCGATATAATACACTATTCTCAATACATATTTAAGGCATCAAAAGTGAGTAGTTATTAGACATTTACTTCCTACTCTTGTAAATACATTGATCAACTACATTCATGTACTTTCTTAATGAAAAACAAGTAAAAGTAAACTGCCGAAACCGTTCTTTAAATATATTTCATTAATTTCAAGAATATCATACATGAAACATCCTTTTATAATCTTATAATAGGTACAATTCACATTATATTATACCATCTATATTTCTTAGTTTTTTAGTATATAAAATCTATTTATAATAATAAGTGAATACTACAAAAAACAATGATTAAATTAATAACTTATATAAAGATCATCTTCAAATAAATCACCTAATCGTCTTCATATTGTTTATAAACTTGTATAAGATAAAAGTGAAAGGTTAATTAATTGGTAACCTTAAACAGCATTTACTTAATACCACCAAAGGGTATATATTTGCTAATATGTATATCCAAAATCATCGTTAAAATAAAATGTTGCAATAATTTCCAATTGTTGTTCCAATAATCTTTGGTAAACAATCTTACTAAAACAAGGTAAAAACAAAGACAAAATAACAGCTACTTATATAAACTTAGTATCTAACGATTTGCAGATACTAGCAGTGAAAAGTGCAACTAATATCCACCATTGCAATGAATAAGCAAAGTATATTCTAAGATCAAATTCGCGACTAATGCATTTTTCAACTACTTGTACGTGTACACTACTACAAATAGAGAGATAAATATTGTCACAATTTAAATTAGGATACTGGTTTTAGTGTAACTTGGATCATGGACAAGTCGAGCATTGTGCGTTGGTATTTCTTAAAAAATGCATGAGCGGAAGCAACACTATTGAATTGAATTGTTGCCTGTCGCTCCATAGGAGACATTTGAAGCTTCTGAAAACATAAAAGTGTGAACACACAACAAATGTCGCTGCGAAACTAAGAAACAGTTTTTAATTATCTAGTGTACCTATATAATGTTAATGATATTTAACAAAAAAAATGAATGTACTTAACTGATATACATTGCACATGTGTACTTTTAACCAGTAATTGTTTTGAAAGAGTGAGTTTATCAATGAAGTGAAACAGCAGACTGATGAAAATTGACAGGATTTTTCATTGAATTTTTGTTGTTCAGGGCTAGTAGTGATCCAAAAAGTTCGCTTACTAGCATATTCTGGTAAATTATCGACTATTTAGAAGAAAAATTGTTCCATTGATGTGAAGCTTGAACTGCGATCACCTACTATGACGTTTTAATAGGACCCCAATGTATGTTGATTTCCAAAGAGCATGGTTATAAAAATTTGCAAGTAAAATTCTGGCTCCGCCCTGTGTAACTTTTGGTTCTATAACAATGTGCAAAATAATCAAATAATTACATCTCAAATTTGGTAACCATGTTACAATATAAACTAGTTTAAGCCAAGACACCTATAATTTGCTTAAAAAGTCTGCGGTGGTGAATCATCTACTTCAGAATATGGGTATGTGTTGAATCACAAAAAATAACGATTGAATGTGTTTTCTAGTCTAGCAAGTTAAATTAAACTGTGGAAGAAAATATAAACAATTAATGCAAATATATTACAAAAAAATCATTGAGTAACAAAAAGAAAAAAAAGATGGTAAAACAATAACATCATAATATAAGGTAGAAGTTTATCACAGTATACACAGCCAATGTTTTTCTAATTAGAAATGTTGATATGTACATTAATCTAGAAACTTTGTGGTCTTTAGATGGTAGTCAAAAAATAGTGAGAGATCGTTTTATAAAATCTGGACACTATATTTGTTTAATAATGAGAATCCAACAACTAATAAATACTCAAAATTTTTACATCACTGCTTATTGACTCCACTGGTAAAGATTCACTTGGTCTTAAAATGCGTTCCGTAGCACACTAAAATGTTTGCTTTAGCACTGAGCAATTCTTCCCGGAGATTTTTATGTACTTATTTAATACTATTGTGGCACCTGCTGATTTTACTGCTACTATTTACACTCTGCTAAATTTCACATTTCAATAGTCACATATATGTTCATTTGTCTTCTAGAGCAAAGCAACAATTTTGTTAAATTGTAGTCACGCATTATTTTGCAATCGTCTGTTGTCTGTGTTATCTTTTTCTAATGGAAGATTGTTTGAAACTCTTGTTAATTTGTAAACCGAGACATTGATATAGAGTGGAGTCACTGCACTTGTAATCACTCTTACACTGCAATCATAACTCTGTAATTAAAATTAATCTCATAGGGATAATTATTTCCAGTTTTTAATAGATCAATAGATCTGCTCCTAAAATCCTTGTTTATTCTCTGCCTGACTACACGAGCCTCGGTAAAAATTTAAATTTACCCCTTGGGGCAAGAGAGACTACCTGGAAAAATGGAACATCATAAAATTTCATATTTAATTTTCACTATTCTCATGGTAATATCAGTTGAGCATGAGCCTCCTGGCTCTTCCCTGGTTGTCTGTTAGCATGAACATAAAGCTGTTTGTATAGTTTGATGCCAACTATCAATAAACGTGAGAACAAAAATACACTGAAACATTTGCAATTTTTGAAAAAAAAAAAAAAAGATTTTGGTTTGTAAAAACGCATTCAAACTCAAAACGCTAGATAGCAAGATAAAAAGCGGAAGATTGACGGCTGTTATATGATAATTTATGCAATATTAGATAAGTCATATGTTTCTGTGACAACTGCCAAACACGGGCGATCTGATCAGAACAATTATTTAACGTCCATCATTATTGTCGTTTTATTTTTCTACAAACGAGAATATTTTTAATTATTCATTTATAGTTGTTCCACCCATAGTTTGTGGTTTAATGTAGTTTTCTGGTATAATTATTCACAATTGTTACTTAAATAAGATTACGGCCTTACTTAGAGATTTTTACAAATAAATGCTGTCACATGCGTTGGAAGAAAGGGATACTTTCACTGCAGAACCTAACCTACCATTAAAATTTGTGACATTTCTTTAGGGTCAAATGTGACAGATTTTGGATATCTAGGGACACTAAGGATGTACTCTTAACTACTGTATAAGATATGTAATAATGTATAACAGCTACAGTATATAAATTTGCTGATTACTATGACAGAATATTCATAATTGTTCAGATTTTTTTGTATAGAAGTGACTGCAAAGTAATGGTTTTGATAAAATTATTGCTTTACTATTATCAATTAAACTAAAAATATACATACAAAACATGTTAATACCATGGAAAGTAATATGCAGCTCTCTGCATAATTTCTCATGCACGCTTAGAACTGAGATTGTTGTAATGAGAGATTGCAAACGTGATTTACATAGTACACATACTCGAATTAGTGAATCAATAGTTTGTATTCCTTTAAATGCAATGAAAATTATACTGAAAGCCGCATCCACGTCGTTTAACCTTTTCACTGCCAACATTCATCCTCACATGATTAGGTGTCGATAGAATAGATTTTAAGCAGATCAGTAGATATAAAGAATTAAAAATGACTTGATTGGATGCTAAACCTACATTATATTTACAGCACGTAAATTTTCAACTAGAGGGTTGTCCCCTGCAGTTTACACAACAATATAGAAAATTAAAAATGACTTCGATCTGATGAACTAGGAGTTCATTAAAAAATTATCAGTAAATCTATCCAGTCATACTTTGATAAAAGGTGGGAGAAACTAAATGGAAACGAACTCAAGAATATTAAAATGAATGCAATATTTCCATTTTGAAAAAGGTTTAAACAATCAAAAAGAGCACATCCAAAAACTGAGGGCGCCTTCTCCGAAAAACCGCTAATTTTAAGACTTTTGGGGACACAGCAAGAGTTTATCACCATTTCTTCCGATAATCCAAAATTAATGTAATTGCTTCTTCTTGGAATAAAAACATTAATAAAATTGGAAAGAGCAAACCAAAAAACCTACATCTTCTTCTACGTCTGGGATAACAAAAAGTTAAAGAAACGCAAATATTGAGATTTTTATGGACCTAGCAAGAGCGGAGACAGGTTTCAGCCCAGTGCTGTCCCAATTTGGTATCATTAAAAGTTAGTAGTGAGTACGGAATGTGATTCTTCTTCATTTGAAATTTTAGTATTTTGTACAATCGTAAATTGAACTGTGAAGCTGAATGATATATATTTTCACTTCCATTGAAAAAGGCAAATTGTAGCATGATGAGAATTTCTGGATCACCCAATCCACAAAACAATGTCTCTTTGCACAAAAATCATAGTTTTAGACATGCAAAACGAAGCTATTCGACTCAATAATTGACAAAGCAGAATTGCATTCCATTTAAGCACAAAAACAATCTTTCTGAGTTGAAGTCGATCGTTCTATCCAGTGGCCAGTTTGACTGGTAACTCAGTGACTGACACTGATGTCATTTTTCTATGAGAATTGCCAAGTACCTACTTCCCTTGAGCGTAAAGAACAATCAACCACTCAAATGCACCTGAAGAGGAACGGTCAACTATTGCTATGCTAAATGTAAATCATGTATTACAATCAATCACCACTAGACTACCCCAATCAACCAAAGCTATGCATCTACTAACACTATATGATGTATACTCCAAATAACAATTCCTTACTTCTAAGGAACAGAGATTAAATTTTGATTAACTGATTTTTATTAATCCGCTCTTAATCGAAATAGCTAGAATTGACAAACTTTTATTTGATGCATGTAAACAGTCTATACAGTATCAGTACAACAGTGAAAAGGTTAAATTGAACATAAATGAAATGATCATAAACTAAACTCACTTCCGTCGTATAATAATGATAATCTTACATTTAATGAGACAATTTATTGTGAACGCGCTAACGAAAGAAACATCAATATTGCCTTACCTTTATGTCACCGATCCCCTGACACATTTTTCGCAACCTAACGTCGGTGGTACCAGCTGCTAAATTACTTATAACAACTATTGACGTATCAATTAATGACTGGTCCTTAGTAAGTATCCTACGATTACTCAAAAATGATGCTAAATGCTGTTTATCATAATTTGAATCAGTATTTATATTATTATTAAAAGTTTGCGGACGAATGACGGTTTGTTGGATTTTGGGTGAATTTGTAACCTTTGGGCCCAGCCGTACTTCTTTCAGATTACTATACTGTTGTTTCAGGATTGGTGGGTTTTGTTGCTCAGTAACCATTTTTTCTACGTCATCTTTGAGATTACCACTTTTGCCTTCTTGAATGGACTTCAATCTCCGCTCTTCTTTTAACTTGAGTATTTGTTCACGTTTCCGTTTCTGTTCTTCTATATGCAATTTGTACTCGCGCGTGTATTCGTCTTCTTCCTCTTCAACTTTCTCCTACAATTATTTGGCCCGATGCAAGAGAATGAAATTTGTCTCATCACTTACCTCTTTCACGGTAGTGTCGGGCGTTTCAATAGTGCGAACTTCGTGCAAATTTGTAGATGCCAAATTTCGCTTCTTCTTCCGCGTCTCCGCGTTCTCGATTTTTCGTTTGTAGTTCTTGGCCGCATGCGTAAACGACTGCTTCGGTCTAATGATACGATTATTATTAAATTCGTTAGCCGGAGGGTTATATTGCGGAGGACCGCGAGCGTTTTGCATGTACTGATTTTGCTGCACTTGCGGGAATGTGGGGTACACTTGATCGCTCGGACGAAATTGGTTGGGAGGTGTTAAAAATTGATTGTTGCAAAAAGATGTATTTTGAACGGGGCCTGAATAAATGGGTGGAGGATATTGAGGTCCTCCGAATTGTGGAGGAGGCTGATTGAATTGCGGTGGCATCTGTTGGTTGGTAAACATGTTTTGGGGAGGTTGTTGCATCATCATCTGTTGTGGAACCTAAAATTTATACAGAAAAAGTGATGAGTTTATCAAAGCATGATCCGATACTTTTGAGTTACAGAGAACAGATTATAAGTTCACAAGCTTGCAAATCTTGATAGCAAGACTAAAAAGTTAAGCGTTGACCAGCTCACTTACACTGTTTTTGAAACATGAAACAGAAGCACATTAAAAAATAACCCAAAGCTTTTCTTCAAGGGATCAAACTGTTAAGAACGGTTGAGCAGAGAACCAGGCACAGCTTCCCAATGCATTTCAAGCAATATACCTATCTGGCACGTGAAGCAAGAATTATCATCCTGTATCAAAGCAAATATAGCCTTTCATCCTATTTCTACATCTCTTGGTGGTTCAAAACCTTAAAATACCATATGTGTATATCCAACCATTAGTTGAAAATTGTATGCAGACTAGGAGTAAAAAAAACTTATTCAACCATCATCCAATTTGGGCCATTTAAACGTGATAAATTAAATTCGGTAATTTGTAGAAGACCCCTCAATATTCCACAACACAGGTCGACTCAGGCTGATTATGTCAAAAGAGTTTATCCCAAAGAGGTCGTTGTAACCCTGTGGATCAAACAAGCATTTAGTGTGGCACAAACTTACCCCTGACGCCCAAACAATCAGCCACAATGAAAGCATGGAGCGGGAATTTATAGGAAGAATGATGAATCAGCACAATCTCGCAGATTAAGTTGGTACCTAGCTATCAATGGCCTACCTCTAAAATTACCAATAGCGACAATAGCCTATTTGCAAGGAGTAGTCCACATTTGAGCAACTCGAACACTGTTAACGTAATTTTAATTTATGGTACTAACAAATGACAGTGGAGTGGGTAAGTGGATTTAAAGGAATGCGTTTGTAACAATCTATCTTTATTTTATAGATGTTAAATTGAAATTTAAATAGATTAGAATGAATAGAAAGCGAAACAAATGATTGTATATTCTAATGATATCTGTCATTCTTATTAAAAAAGGGACACGGCGCCCGAAATAAAATGAAGTTCAGAACAGAAAACAATATTGTTTCTATGTAAACGACGGTAGAACCTAAGCTTACTATTTATAACGTCTAAATTAAATTCAGAATTGTCAGAAGCTTTACAATGATTTATATGGCTTGTGCTATAAAATAAACTTTTCCTTATGGCTTATACACAACAATAAAGGAAAACTAACCATTTTGTGAAAGTTAATTCACTCGATGGTTAAATACCCTTTATCGTCTTGTATAATAAATAACTATTAATTTTCTAATTGAAACGTTTTACGTTTAGCATTTATTGGTATAAATTAAAACACGCCAGGTCTCCCTCGCTCTATGAACAGCCAAACTTGTCACCACATTCCAAAAGTCAGACCAAGACATCTGGTATGAGGAAACAAGCACCAAAGGCGAAGATTTTAACTCCGCGCAAAACAGGAACTAACTTATAGCACTTTTTTACGTAGAAGTTGTTACAGTTTCAATTTCGTCTTTCAAAGAAAGCAAAAAAACCGTCTATAACTTGCTAACAGATAAATTTTTGAAATATTAATAATAATAATAATACCATTTATTCCTAATACATCATTGTTCATATTAAATTAAACATAAAAACAAAAACAATCATGAACAATTGAAGTAAATTTGCAATTAGAAATAAGAAACACAAAAGAATAAGAAACAAAAAAAAGAAAGAGGAATCACACGCCGCCAATTCCAATTGATCGTTCAACCACCTACCATTAGAGCCTCAAAAACGTATTAAACTTAATAAGCTTCTTGACACTACAAACTTATAAAATGCCCTCTGTAAATACCATTTTTATATTTACCTCATTAAATGAGTTTGGTTGATACTGATTCCAAGCATTGACCTGTATAAAATACGATTGATTAAGTTTTTCTTACTACAAAAGGGGAACATACTTAATTTACTCAGTTTACAATGTTTCACCTACAAATTAATAAGACACATTTACATTTACATTTACATTTTTGTAAATCTTGCTCTAAAAATTAGGTGTGTTCTTGGAATTAAATGTTACACTAGTAATTAGTAGGCATATCTCCTCTTGTCGACTCGATCTATGGACATGCTGCCAATTTCGGGGACGGTAAACAGTGTAGTTAATGAGAATGTCTAACCCAAGGTTTAACCTTAATTCATGGGTGCAAAGAGAAGTTACAAAGAGGTCAGTTTTTGATCCTCCATTATCTAATTAATCACTTACCTTAAACAGTAGATGTTCCTTATGGCTTATACACGACATTCTTATGCAACATTGTTTCAATGTGCAACAATTTACCCAACCTTAAAGATTCATAACACACTTCATTCATTTGTGACTGTGCTTTCTCTTTTGTGAGAGTATTTTTCAAAATGACTTTTTGCATATAGGTAAACTGTATTTTAATTATGCCTGAATTAACGACGTAAAGAAGATCTCATTGCTAGTAAAACTATCTCGAGGTTTGATGTAGTTTTACCTCAACAAACTGTGACCAATATTGACAGTTGCTCGTCTCAAATTAACAAACCTGTGGTGGATGAATGTTCTGCTGAAATACCGGAACTTGGGGTGGAGGTTGTTGAAATTGGGGTACATTCTGCGGCACAGTCATGGGTTGATAGGTCTGAATCCACGGTTGAATATTGTTCACATTCTGATTCTGTTTTCGGTTCTGCGAAAATGGCATTATCCGTCCCACTTGATGGTTATTATTAGTCTTGTGGCGTGCATCCCATGCCAAACGTGCTACAATAAACGAGTAAATATACAAAACCGAGAGATTTGAATTGTTAATACTATTGTTATTAATTTTCACGTGGCCCTTGAAATGGGGATTAATTAATACAGTCTGATTTTGTGCATTACGATTTGAATAACTGCCACCTCTTCCTCTCTGTCTGAATGTGCCCATACCTCGTTTGCCATTGCGTGCAGTTGGCAGGGATGAAACAACTTGCACCTTATCTTTAAAAAAAATTGTTCATTGTAACACGACACTGACAATGGAACGTAACATACCAAGAGAATCAGGAATATTGCTTGATCTGGAAGATGGTATTTGTCGTTCAGATTTAAACCTATCCTCTCGTTCTCGATCTTCCTGTTCACTTGAATTTAAAATTGATAGATCAGCTTCAGGTTTTGTTGTAGAAGTCACTGGTTGTGCTGAGCTATTTTTGTCTAACAAAAAGGAGTTTAAAGGGGGGCAGTAAAGATGTATGCTCACCTTCTAGATCTTCCAATTCAACATCCTCTGAAGCTTCAAGGACAAGAGTGTCCGAATCCTGATCTAATAACAACTCATCGTCCGCTAAAAGCGCATCTTCATCTGCATTAGCAAGATCCCCATATTCACTACCCTCCTCACCGTATTTGCCACCGATTTTATCCAATAATAAGGCGTCCCTTAAAATAAAGGGTAACATTAAATGGGACACACAAGAGGTTTAACTTACGAGTCTGTATCCATCATTCTTTTATATTGTAAATTGTGATGTACGAACTATATAAAGGCTGTGTTCGTCGAAGATGGAAAAATTAAGTTTACAATAACAAAACATGCAAATATTTTTTATGGGGAAGACGCCACCATAGCATATATATATGCACCATAGCCAAAGTAACCATAGAATAGTAACTGTTTGCACTTTTGACGAATGACAGTTCACATCCAAACGTGTACAGGGCGAGTTGTAATTAAAGCAAAGGGACTGAAACAAAGATAAAAATTGTTCCGACCAAAAAATCCAAAAGAGATTACTCTCAATTCGGAAAAATTAATTTATATTGGATGAATTAAATCAATGATTGATTTTCTAAATAAATCAGCGGCAGGCGACTGTCGGGTTTAATACTCATCAATAAAAAGTTATGCTTCATGGTACCAAAAGAATCAGACTAATTAATAAATTGGAACTCAAACGTTATATCAAAAACATAAATCTAAAAAATAAGTTTTTTTAAAACCTATAACTTCTTGGCACCATAGCATCTGTTGAGACCCAGCAGCTTCCTTTTATTCTATTTACTTCTCATGTATCCCTTCGTATTTTATTGAGCGAAGTATCTAATCGATGTAACAATTTTTGACAGGAATGTTCAATCTAATTTTATAAGAAGTACATACTTTAAAATTTCACAAAAATAAGTCCATAAGAAATTTACGTTGATTGTGCTTTAAAATCGGCACACATGTTCTTAAAGATCTACTACTCTGTCAAAAAAGTACCAGGAATTGGTAAAAAAATTTGTAGTACTATAATTTGTACCACGAAACACATTTAAAATGCTTTCAAACGCATTCTAAACTTTTTCCAGAACGGTATTTTCTCTTCCAAAACTTAGAGAGCTTTGAAATGGGCTTTACTAGCACCTCTTGTCCTTCGGAAAGAGTTAAAAGGTAAAAGGGTTTAGTAAGCGCATAGAAGATTCTGAAAAACTCTGATTCTTCAATGATTTTTGAAAACAATCAAGAACCTTCCAGACCATATTAATAATTTTCCAGAGCGTTGTCGCTCTTATTCTTTGCTGTGGAAAGAGCTTATGAAGCACGTGAAAGGCTTTAAAAACACTAGAAAGAACCTGGACTGCTCTTGAAAATCGAAGTACTTTTTAGGGTAATTTATATATAACGGCTTAAGGTGGGTTCATAGCTCTCCGTTCATACGTTTCGGTTTGTGCGTTAGCCAATCAGAATACAGTAAATTTTTAAAACGTACGTCGTCCAATTACAACGGAAAAGTTGGTTGAAGTTGAACATTTACGTTTCCGTTGATCCATTTTTTAACAAGAGTAAGGTTATGTTTGTTATACTGTTGACGTTTAAGAGCAAATTTAACAGTGTTCGCCTATTACGTTCTTCGCGGTGATAAGCTGATAGTAGTTTCTACGTACTGAAGATCACGGTGGGTACAGTACAAAATAAAATTTAGGTTATGGTTATACCTTGTAAAGGTACATTATGGGCGGATTGCTATGAACCTTAACAAATTTCAATATCCGTTTCTCGGATCAACGCAACGGATGAACGGAGAGCTATGAACCCACCTTTATAGTTTTATAAATTTTTCGAGAGAACTCTAAACTTGTGTACAACTGGGTAAAGATTTTTTATACTTGAATATAATATGTTCTAATATAGTAGAACAAGGTTTGAGCGTGATCACGTGGTCATGTTTACTTTAACCTAAAAATTTGCCTTTGTGTCATCGTCATCCGAATAAACAAATACCAAATTTGCACGCTAATGAGGGATTACAGCCTAAGCATTTTCTTTTTGTTATCTATTACTGCTGCACACGTTTGAGGCGAATCTAAATCCGCTTCATGCCGTTCGTTTAGTGTACAGCAGTGATCCAACAACACCTAAAACCTCCGCTCTGTGCACTCCTGAAACAGAAAATTGAACGCACCTTGTTAAGATGACGGAGAGCAACCACAACACATCAGAGCATAACCTTACTTTTCTATTTATTCAAATTTATATTCTTTTATACATAAACAAATTCAATTTTAATTTATGAGCAAAGAGCATGACACAGTTACTAAAATTAATTTGTAACAATTCTAGAAGATATTCTAATATTAAACGCGGTGTAATACTTGGAATTGAAACTTCGTGCGATGACACTGGATGTGCCGTTGTGGATACAGAAGGAAACATTTTAGGCGAAGCCTTAAATTCACAACATTTAATTCATTTGAAGTATGAACATTTAATTCAGATAAGGGAGGCTTATTTCGGGTTTACTTTAGGCATGGCGGTATTATACCCCCTATTGCTCAAGATTTACACCGTAAAAACATAGAGAATGTTGTGGCTGATGCACTGAAAGAAGCCAATTTAAGTTGTAACGAAGTGGATGCTATAGCAACAACTGTTAAACCTGGTACTTAACGCCAAAAACTTACGTTTGTTAGTGATAATTACTTACTTAGGTCTACCACTGTCTTTAACAATTGGGACAAAATATGGGAAACATTTGTGCAGGACGTACAATAAACCATTTATTCCCATACATCACATGGAGGCGCATGCCTTAACAGCTCGTATGCACGACAGTACGATCGAATTTCCTTTCCTAGTATTATTAATAAGCGGCGGACATTGCCTGCTAGCCATAGCTCAGGATGTAGACAAATTTTTGTTGATGGGGCAAAGCTTCGATGATGCCCCAGGTGAAGTTTTTGACAAGGTTTTTAATGCTGTTACCGACAAATTGCATATATGATTTGATTTTTAGATGGCAAGGAGGCTGAAATTAAAAGATATTCTCGAATATTCCGAAATGTCCGGAGGGCAAGCGATAGAGCGTGCAGCATCGAAGGCAACAAATCCATTGGAATTTAATTTCACACCTACACTTTTAAGGTATAGGGACTGTAATTTTAGTTTTGCTGGGAATAAAAACCAATGTGTACGACATATTTTGGCGCAGGAGAGGAAACATGGTAGGTACGTCCGATTATTTTCATTCCGTAATTGTGTATGGTAGGGCTTTCACCAGACGCTATTATTCCGGGTGTAAATAATTTATGTGCCGGTTTACTGTTGGTTATGACTAGACACTTGTGCCATCGTGTTCAGAGAGGTATGGAGTATGCAGCTTTGAAACATTTGATACCTTCTGATCGTAGAACTTTGGTATAACTTAAATTAATGAAGTGAGATGCTAATGCGTGATTGTAGGTTGTGTCTGGAGGAGTTGCTTGTAATAATTTTGTAGCAGCAGGCTTACAAGTTTTGTGTGATGGAATGGAATACAAATTGGCACGGCCCCCACATAAGCTTTGTACAGACAATGGAGTGATGATTGCTTGGAATGGAATTGAAAGGTGATTTTGTGGTACAATTGTCTTATAACATTGAATAAGAATCTGGTTAGCTTGTAAGTGGCAGTCATATATGCCGATCTAATCCTATACCTACTGCTCTAAAGGAGTTGAGCAATCGTATTATTTTTACAGCTTTGAGGGCAAACAGGTATAAATGGTTATATATTACGTGTTTACTACTTAAAATTGTGTAACAGACTGGAAGTACATTGTACTGCTCTTAGTTTTGTAACGACTCTATTAAGCATAAACCTTTGGCTTTTCAAGCTGTCAAAATATAACAAAACTTCTCAATCCCTATAGTATCCATAAGTATAGTTGGAGAACACGATTTTTTAATTTTTAGATGGAGAGCAAACAAGGGAATAACAACAGATTTAGACTCAATCACAATTGAAAAGTCTAGTCCGTTGGGAGAAGATGTAAGAAAAGATGTCGAATTGGCCAATATAAAGCCAAAGTGGATTAAACTAACTGGATTAGTGAATCAAAACGAAAATGTTAAAAAAGATGTATTACAAAACAATGGTTGAAGTTTAAATACAAATTAGACAACTAGCGGTCCTCTTTCACCTAAATTGTGTCTTAGATTGGCTATAAATTCTGCTTTTTCCTCCAGTTCCTTCTTCTTTTTAATTTCATTATGAACATCTAGCAAATGTCTAATTTTGTTCTTAAGTAAATTAACATCATCCACACTTTCCTTAGCGGATATAGCCATAATATCATCAAATACAAAAGGAATTTCTGGCCTCATTTCTTCAGGGTAACTCTTCAATACATCTGCATACATGCACTTAAGACAAGGTCAACTATAAGACAATACTGACCTGATATATTTAAGATTTTGTCTCGTACATTATGGAAGTGTTGGTGATCCGTAACTGTGTCCATTTTATTTATGACCATTAATTTAGGTTTACTTAATAAGTCAGGATTATAAAGTTCTAATTCCTACAAATGTTTTGAATTGTACACACTCTAATATAGCAACAAATAGGTACCTTATTCAATAAGACGATGGTGTCCAAACAATTCCTATGGACATATTGGTACCCTAACCGAAATCCATTTATATCTGCCATAACAAGTAAAAGTTGTGTTCTTTCAACATGCCTTAAAAACTCATGACCCATTCCTCTATTCGCATGTGCACCTTCAATAAGACCAGGTAAATCGGCCACTGATATTTGTCGAAAGTCTGGGTATGAAATTATTCCAATGTTTGGTCGAATTGTCGTAACTAAAAATGAGTATAAGACTTTGGAACAATTTAAAGCATTACGTACAAGGGTAACTTGCAATTTTTGGCTTGGCATGGGAAATAGCTTTCAATAATGTACTTTTTCCAGCATTTGGAAATCCGACCAGACCGACATCGGCTATCAATTTTAAATCTAATTTGACGTTATAAGCTTGCCCTTTGATACCCAAAAACCCATTCTTAGGATGTCCACCTTTTCCTCCATTCGCTACAATGACTTCATCCCCTTCCTTATTTACTTCGCCTAGTTTTTTGCCTTCGTCAGTATAAATTGTTACACCCAGAGGAACTTCAAATTTTAAACTCTCTCCGGGAGGGCCCAGTATAAAATTATGCGTACTATGTGTGCCATTCTTTGCTATGAAACGCCTCGACTGATTGCATCTGCACAGATCTTCTAGTGTAATATGCTCTCGTCCCACAGCAACAACGCTTCCTCCCTGTCCACCAACACCCCCAAATCTAAGGAAGGTCATTGAGAATCCTGAACATTCCAAAACATAACATACTTGGGATAACCATTCCCACCCGCACCGCCTTTCACGTATATCCTTAAAGAATCTTTAAAACCATTTCGTAAGTAAAGCCTGAGTGGGTTTACTTTTGATTCGTATTTTAAACATCTCTCTAAAAACACCATTCCTTTTTATAAAACAGCATAACAACTGTGAAATTAGTAACCCAGCATTACTCCCTGACGCTGTGGTAGACACTTCACAGATATTTTATATACAGGGTGCTAGTTCACTTCGTTGTGGAAGTGTTTTGCAAAGCAATTATGAGTGCGGGAACAGTTATTTTGCAGATGAGCGCGAAGTTTGGCGGCGCGAGTGCGACGCATCTAGCGCGAATCAAGCAAATACTGTTCACGCACGTAACATGTATTCTATTTTTTGCACGGATTAGTTAAATCGAATTTATATAAATTCAAATTCTTTTCGCGAGATTTTTGCGACATTATAATTCTTTTGAAAAAATCTAGTCCTCTATGCCGATAAAGTAGAAATCTAGAAATTTAAGATGTCAATTTATTGTTCAAAACTTCTGGTTTAAGCTTATTTTTGCCCTTGTACTACAGGAAATGATGTAAAGTGTATTTATATTTTCTTTATTACTCTTCCATCATACTACTTATTAGTTTATGATCATCACTAAATAGATAATTTCGTTGAATTTTTAGGCACTAGTGCGCGAAAGTAGATAGTCAATTGTACAATTGATGTTCCCGACGTTCGTGCTTTATTGGGAAAACGCGATTTAAACCAAGGAGTGCAAAAAACGTTTTGAGCGTGAGTGCTTTGGTTCCATCATTAATAGCGCCCCTGTATAGAACTCCATAGCTGTATAAGAGTCACTGATCCTGAGCTGTTAACCTCAAAATTTTAAAATCTATCGATTCGCCCCTCGAAGCAAGAGTCAAATCATATTTCCATGCATTTTTCCTGTTATGTTATGACGTAATATTCGTGAATACAACAATGAAATCGTTCGTAGTTTTCCCCACATAACGCAATAATCCACCTCCAAAGGCACTGGAAGGAGGTTACACCAAATATTTAATGAAGGAAGATGTGGGTCAACTTTCTCTAAGTTTCATGTTTCTTATTTTAGTTTTGGGGGAAACCTCCTTTCCTTTAAGCAATGCATTTATCAAAACTTCCCCTGCAATTTATTCATAAAAGTTTGCTACCACTCGGAGGGGTGTGTGCAAATCGTAATCAATGTCAAACCCGCAAAATTAGCACTGGCAATGTGAATCTTGCAAAAGTAGCCCAATATCAAAAACCTGACTGGAATCGGGCCGTTACCGAGGCAGAGAAGATTGTCGGCTATCCAACTTCGTTTTTAAGCCTCAGGTGGCTGTTAAGTGACGAAATCGCAAATGTCGCATTGCATTTGAGGAAACTAGTAGGTTCGAATCATCCGCTACTTAAAACCGGCAAGTAAGACGATTGCAAACATTTAATTTTGCACTTCACACAATTTTTTAGGAGCTTATTATACAATGGCAAAAATAATATGCAAGCTTGGGGGTTGATTGTACTTCTTGTTTCGAAAGCCGCCGGCCATGCTCCTGACCTTCCCGATTTGGAGCAGGATAAAGCTGCAGGGGTCCTACATAGTCAGCGCGCTCTTGCGGAAGTGACAGAAATGATACGCACAAGCCATTTGGCTCACAAAGGGTTGGTAAACTTGCAAGGGGACGAAACGAAAGAAGATACAAGCGATATGATGTTTGGTAATAAAATAGCGCTTCTAATGGGAGACTATTTACTTGGTAATTGTTGCGCCGAATTGGGTGTCTTACGCAACCAAGAATTGGTAAGCCTGATGAGTTCTGCCGTTCGAGATTTGGCGGAGGCCGAATTTGTGGGACCGCGCGATAAGCAAAATAATCCGTTACCAGCGCGGCCTCTGCCGTACATTGAGTACAAGCCGTTGAATGATGTCGGTTTGGAGCCTTTACTTGTAAGCGAGGCTTTGGGTAACGCACAGGCTGAGTGGACGTTACGGCACGTTTTAAGTGCCGGTAGTTTGTTGGGCAAGTCTTGTCAGGGAACTTTGAAATTGGCCGGGCATTCCTATGAAGTTCAGGAACAGGGATATTTATTCGGTAAACATCTGGCATTAGCGTGGCAGGCGTGTTTGGATCGTGAGCCTTTCGCTCCTGGTAGCACGGAACCTTTTAGCCTTGTGTGCGCACCAGTTATGTTTCATTTACAGCATGATCCCAGTTTTTATGAGGAGATTGAGAAGGGTGAAATTGACGTTCATGATGTGGACTATGACAAAATTCGCAAAGAAGTTTTGAACGGTCCCGGTTTGGATCTTACACAGAAGTTGCAAAGGGAGCATTCACAAGCTGCACTAGATGTTTTAAATCAATTACCACCATCTGACGCCCGGACAGCGTTGGGGAACATTATTGCAGCAATACGTGATATTTAGACAAGTATTGCTCATATTAAGACTTTTATTTATTGTTTTTTATCTTTTGATTTGATGCTTTGTTTATACTGCGCTGGTTTTGTCAGGAAACAATGCACTACCCCTTCAGATTTACATTGAAGAAACTTTTATTTTTTTCTGCTTTTCACTCTAGCAAATGAATGGCTTTTTTTAATGCATTATTGCATTATTGCTTTATATTGAAAATTTCTTTTTATATATAAGATTTTAGCAATATAGCTTTATTTAACAATTCTATACATAGATTATTAAGAGTGGTTGAGGGTTGTTGTTTTTACATTACAATGTTTATCTTTGTTATTTAATTTTTTCTTATAGGTATACTGTTTTCTATACGTTTTCTATCTGCGTTATACTAAATTACATGTACTATTCTGCATAGTATTGACTTGTTTGTATGATTGTACAAAACATTAAGAACCAACAACAATTGTTTTTTTGTACTTTTGTATTTTTTATGAAAATTAAATAATATTTTTTCAGGCTTTTCCAATTATTTGTGTATATAGTAAAAAATAAACCTGTGTGAATTTGCCACCCGCGTTCGCGGATAAATTACAACGAACAACATCCCTTCCACTTAAAAATCGCATTAAAAGAAAACGCTATGTGTTCGAGGGACATTAAATAAGTCAGTGACTGTATGTATTGTATAATATGTAGCCACTTGGAGTTCAATATCACGTTCCAGAAGAAGAGACACAGCCAAACGTACAGAACCTCAAAATCAAATATTTTTTGGTCTGGGCATAGAATTCTAGACTGTAATAGAATCTCATATTTCAATGCATAGAACCCCCTTAAATGAGAAATGGCGCATTAACACAAAATTGACTATATTGCCTTGCATGGTCATCGTCTGAATAAAGAAAGTACAAGCCCAGTCTAGAGACTTACAAGGTTACTATCTTAACCTTGTTGCATGCTAGTAATTGCCATCATGTGATATCGTGGGAACAATTAAGTCTTCATTTAGTTTTGGTAAGTATCTTTCCATTTTTTTTAGTAAATTAGTATCATACCCTTTATCAGAAGTTTTTTCGTTTTAGGTTAGATTGTTGGAATCAGTAGCAGTAGCTGTTGCACGATTTATCTTCTGCCATTTATTCATGCTCGTTGCATGGCTTGTGTTCTATGATGAAGTTGCTCTATGTTTAACAAATAGAATCATATTCTTTCTGCCGATGTGTTATGATTTTCAAAGCACTTATTCACGTTTTCCAACTGCTTGTATGCTTACTTAGTACTTTAGTAATAACAAATGTTAATGCATTTTATACTTATTTATTATACAGTAAGGTCCGAAAGTGTTGTCACTCCTTTGTTTTGTCCAGATCTTACATCATGCGACAGTTCCTTGTAGGAAACAACTAAGCAATATGAAATGATACCAGATAAATGAAGAGTTCAAGCAGGCTCTTTGAGAGGCATTCAGGAAATTACCTACACTGCCTATGCTTTGGAAAATTTCACACAGAATCTGGTGCCTTGACAATGATGGTGTCCTTAAACATGTTTTGGAATACTGGAACTTGGAAGTTTGTATCAAACGTTTGGCCCACATTAGCCATGTCAATTTCAAAATAAATACACATCATGACCAAAATTAAGAAGGGTGACCAGACTGTCGGACATAACTGTATGTGTTTTGCAAATTGTAATTCTAATTATACCTACTAAAAACTGTTGTCTAAAACAGATAGGAAAAAAAAAACAATGTGTTTGATGTTTAATGCAGTTGTGTATTAATAATAGTCTTACGATCCCACATCAAGTCAACCTTCGCCCATCTGTTTACCAAGTGAAATACATTTTTTAGCAATCTTAATGTGTAGGCAAACACATTGCAGATGGGTTGCCTAAAAAATTAAGACAAGACTACCCTTAATTAAAATTAATGTAATTAATATTTCAATCTTGACTTAATTTTTTAGGCAACCCATTTGCAATGTGTTTGTTTACATAATATTATGATTCACTTTAAAATTGTGACAAATGATTCTATGCGTGTTTATCACACATTTAGCGAAAAACCACGCCTACAAGTTGATAATGTCAACATGGTTTTCAAAGAAGAAAGGTGCTTTTCAGGGAAGATGCATTTTTCATTGATTTAAGTTGCATGTTAAAATAGTTCATTTTGGTACATGTTTTAGTCATTCTCACTTTCACCTCCTTTTTGTAGTAATAGTAGTCTTAACAAATGACCTACCAACTTCTCAGGCATCTGAGTTTATGTGGTTAGTTCCAATCACACCCACAATAGCTCTACATAGGCCAGTCACATTAGACATATTATTTAAACTCGGAGTTGGTATCAAAGTTTAGTCCCTCTCTATCTTTATCCTCACTCCCTTAAGATTGTGAAGCATTCCTGGGCGCATCTTCCTTCTCCCCAAGAACTTGTGCTCTGATGTATTACTTATACACCTCACAATGGCACAGTGCACACCCTAAGGATCTACTTTAAGGTCCATTTTGTGCAAGTATCTTTTCATTTGACATTGTCCCGTTATTAGACCTGTCAATATAGGTATTGTCGTGTGCAATGGCATGCGGTCACTACGCCACCCACAAATCATTTATCCAGCTAGCTCAGAACAAATGAAAATTGAAACTTAGAATTTTATAATCTCTCCTCGGACACTTCCTGCATCTGCTATAAAGAAAGTCTCAATTTGAGAGGCTCGGTGGCTGCGATCAACTTTAGAAAATTACAAACAATTTATTACACGAATTTTCATGAACACCTGACATAAATCTTGGGTACAAATAGAAAAATATGAAAAACTATCTGGGCCGCACAATGGGTTCAAATAAACAATTAATTGAAAATGACAAAATTTATTCCGAATCACATGAAAGACAAAAAACAAAATCCCTTAAAGAAAGAAGACGTCGATTAATAAAATAACTTAAAAAAAATTCAAATCTGTTTGGACAACACAAACGCTGACAGCTTCGGAGCTTCACTTTGTTTTATAACATAAGATTGGAGGACAAACATAACTGGCTTGATGAATAAAATGTACCTACACATTTTCGGTAGTTATTCGGACGGTAGAAACTTAATAATAAGAGACCCTAAACAAAAGGCCCCGCCATACAACAACTGCTTGCTTTTTCAACTCTACGAAACCATTTCCGTAGACGGACGAAACACGTTCAACTTTTATACCACTTAGTTAACTTGCTTCTGCACAAATTTATTACAGAAATGACGAACGGAGTCTTCAATAAAACAGATAGGGCTGACTGCCCGAGATATAGCGTAAAAAAATGTATACGCTTTTCAACCGTTACGAAAACTAGCAGCAGCTGCGTCGTTCAGTCGTCTCTCGTATTTAAGGACACTTGCACCATCAAATAAACTTCCTCAAGAATGTTTAAATCAATCGCCAATCAACGCCTGAATGCACCAAACGTCTCCTCGTCTCCAATATGAAACACGCAATTCTTCGAAATGCCTTATCTCTTAACGCTGACAGCTTCGGAGCTTTACTTTGTTTTATAACATAAGATTGGAGGACAAACATAACTGGCTTGATGAATAAAATGTACCTACACATTTTCGGTAGTTATTCGGACGGTAGAAACTTAATAATAAGAGACCCTAAACAAAAGGCCCCGCCATACAACAACTGCTTGCTTTTTCAACTCTACGAAACCATTTCCGTAGACGGACGAAACACGTTCAACTTTTATACCACTTAGTTAACTTGCTTCTGCACAAATTTATTACAGAAATGACGAACGGAGTCTTCAATAAAACAGATAGGGCTGACTGCCCGAGATATAGCGTAAAAAAATGTATACGCTTTTCAACCGTTACAAAAACTAGCAGCAGCTGCGTCGTTCAGTCGTCTCTCGTATTTAAGGACACTTGCACCATCAAATAAACTTCCTCAAGAATTTTTAAATCAATCGCCAATCAACGCCTGAATGCACCAAACGTCTCCTCGTCTCCAATGAAACACGCAATTCTTCGAAATGCCTTATCTCTTAACGGTGCATTTTTGGAAAAAGATACGCTATTATATTCGTTATGATTGGCTGGCTGTCTGACTGAGATCTCGGCAATTACAATAGCTAGATACTTCAAATTGTCACTAAAAGCTTTTTGATGTAGTGTAGATGTGCAGGCTCTAGTCTATTTTGAGTTAGATTACTCGTGAGATCGATAATTTTAAACTTTGCTAATGAAATACTGATCTGCATTACCAAAAATGCGCTTTCATCACGCATATGCTGATTTACAACTTGTTTTTTAAAATTGCGAAAAATTTAAAATATTTAATCGGAAACACTACGTTAGCTAAGATACTCTACACAAACTTCACTCAAAACTAAAAAAAGACACTCCATGTGATTTTATCAGTAGATATAGTACCATAGAGGAATCTAATGGATGTCAATTACAGTGTAGCGAATTATACTTCTGTTTTAAATAGGTACGTGTGCTGCTTTGTTGTAAATAATTTGACTCTTGACTGATTCGATAGTACAAAATATATAGTCAGCTATAGACCTGAAACCATGTGCCACTCAGTTCTTGGAGAGCAATGTCGCTAGCGACTTCTTTAATTCAAATAGTACCTAAACCACTTTCATTATTACAAGTAGGTACCTATCAATAGTTATAGCTAAATAATGTGCACCATTTCTTTCATCATCATAATCACGTATTTGTTCGTTTAAGTATTACAATTCAATGGTAGTACTTTCTCTTAACCTTTTCTTAACATGGTGCTGCTTGATAACAATTTTGAAACTTTTTTAGTATGTGCGACAGTTTACATTGGCCGTTTTTCAATTTTAAGAGCAAAACTTTTCTGACTAGGTACCAATGGCCTTAAAGCATACACAAAGCCTTTTCCGGGCAAAGTTTCTGCGAAATATCCATCATCACTCACCCGCCATAGTAGAAGCTAAAGCAAATCTGACACAGGCAGTTACCGAGGCAGAAAAGGTAGTGGGCTACCCTACCTCCTTCTTAAATCTACGCTGGTTGCTTACTGACGAACTAGCAAATGTCGCAAAGCATATTCGGAAGTTAATTAAAGTGAATCACCCTTTAATCGAGGAAGCGAGGTTTGAACTTATCAATTGGATTTCCTAGGTAACTGCCTTGAATTTCAGGAAAATATTTATGGGGAACAACAACGATATGCCTTCTTGGGGTCTTATCGTCTTATTAGTTTCGAATTCGTGTGGTATAAAGGAAAGCTTTTCCGAATATGATCGCGATACGAGCTCCGGAGTTTTATATAGTCAAAGGGCATTGGCGGAGGTAACTGAAATGATACGCATCAGTAACATTCTTCATAAGAATGTTGTAAATGTCGATAAGAAAATGTTAGATGAGTTGGCGGATCTGAACTTCGGTAACAAGTTGGCTATGCTTAGTGGAGATTATTTGCTAAGTAAAAGCTTTCGCGAACTTGCCCTGCTAAAAAATTCAGATTTAAACGAATTGATGTCATCTTCACTACGCGATTTGGCCGAAGCCGATTTTATTGGAATTGAAACCGAATTCGCGGCGCAATTACCGTGCAAACCAGTCAACGCGCCAACTGCCTTGAAAATCGTTGATCATTTTGGAACAGAACCCCACAAAGTACACGAGATTTTGGGAAATCCCATCGCGGAATGGACGCTAAGAACCACCTTAGGGGGCGCCACTTTGCTAGCAAAATCCTGTCGAGGTGCTTTGATCCTTGCTCGACATTCCGAACCCCTACAGAAGTTAGGTTTTTTGGTTGGAAAAAATATAGCACTTGCTTGCCAAGCGAAGATCGATCAAGAGCCATTTTTACCAGGACAGTCGGGTACATTTAGTTTAATCAGCGCACCTGTGATGGTGCATTTGAATCATTTTCCTAATTTTTATGAGAAATTGATGACCTCAAACATTGACTATGACAGTATTAGACAAGAAATACAAAGTGGTCCTGGTTTAGAAGGTGCGCAGGATTTACAACAACATTTTTCAAAGGAAGCGTTGCGTGTATTGAACGAGTTACCGAATTCTGATGCTCGAATAGCTTTAGAGAATATTGTTAAAACGTTACATAGTTCTGATTTGTAGTTCCTATTTAGCAATGTGAATATCTAGTCATTGTAAGTAGATGATTCATCTACATGCTAGGCATTCTTAGTTTCCAGATATTTTTGCTGTTATTGTTTTGTTTTTAAGAAAAGCAATAAAAAGAGTTAATATACACTAGCATTGGTTAAGGAATTTGATTCATGATACAGTTTTACCCCATCGAGCGAATGTAGGTAACCAATCTCTTCCCTTCTCTAGACATACTTAGTTTACACAAAAAAGAACCATAAAATTGATCCTTATAGGGAATGTCTCAAGATAACGACTCTACTACCTAACTAACTCTTAGAAACTCAGGAATTCTGGGAATCTCGGGGAAGTAAATTCAAGGTTTCATTTAAGTTTTAAAGAAGCATCCGTTTTTGGCTATGAAACCTACCAGACATGACAAACAAGCTGTAGAAAAATAGTGTTAAAAATCGATCCAACATTAACACAACTTACACAAAATTTGGTTAATCGCCAGAAGGTAATAAGACTTAAAAATGTAGCAGTTAAACAGAGATTAAATTTATTCATATAATTGCTGCTTAACGTATCGACCACCAAAAGCGTTTTCAAGGAAAAAAGGAAACGAAAAGATAATCTAACATACGCATTCTTTAAGGATGCACCAATAAGAATTCGCCATTCTATCGTAATTTTGATTGGAGAGTTCAAAATTGATCAATGAACTTTTAGTTGAATGAAGCACGTTTATGCTGTGTGCAATCGATAGATATGAATCACTTAGTAGGTAGTTGTAAGTTGACAAGGTCCTTAGGGGAAAACACGGAAAATCGCGAAAACTTTGAACTCCAATATATTTTAAATTTTAAATTGTGACCAAACGATCAATAAAACCTCCAGAGCGGTAAAAAATCAAAGAAAAAGAAATTTTTGATATCTTAAGAAACATATTTATGCACAGTAAAGCATCTGGGTGGAATTACTTAAATTTGTCAATATGTGTGTAAAATTTCTGGAATACGAGTAGGTACCTATAGGTATTATGTGTTAGGTGTTACCAATCTAAATGTGTAAGGGCTGCTACAGACGGCCGTGTTGTTCAAGGAAGTACACACATGTTGAGTTAGGATTGGTAGCAGTAGTGTAAGTGCACTAGTGTGCTTTAAACGAAAATGAACAAAATAATGCAGAAAATTCCCGCAGGAATTCGCGGGATAGTATTTTCTATAATTCTACAATCGGACATTAAAAAAAAGAAATAAGCAAAATTAAATTAATATAAGAAATAAACACACTGTAGCGGTTTTGAATGCACGTACATAAACATGTACAAAAACGTCAGTCTGTAGGGCCCTTATAAAGTTTATGCTATCTCTGCATAAAACAGTTCCTACTGAATAAGAACCTGATGACCAGCATTTCTCAGCCAGTTGGTGACACAGAAAGTAACTAAAAGTAACCAAAAAATTAATGGAAAAATAAAATTTGAACAACTTCCTTCCATTTTATTTTCTTGAAATTAAGCATGAAATTGACGTGTAATGTAACTGCAGACAAATGAATAGATTCAAACTTATTATTAAGTGATTGAATATGTTGACCAAAATCAAAATATAACCAATTCCTCTTTTTCTCTTACATCTTTCTTATTTACAAATTCGTTATGTTTATGACCAGTACTGGAAATTTAAATTCTATATCGTGCCCACGTTTGCTACTACCTTACTCCTATTTAAACTTCAATGAACAATAAAAAAACTTGGCAATTTCTTACACAAGAAATACTCATTTTATAGCTAACCAAAATTGAACACATTTACAGGAATATCCTCATTTAAACGTAGATTCTAAAAGAACCAAAATAATCAAAATTCGACACGTAAATGAATATGATACAAGTTCACTCGTTTCGGTCAATTTACTAATTCCTTAAAAATTGTCTGATTGCTTTCAATAAAAATTCAATGCAATTTCTTAAAGAGATGCGATCTTTAGTTTTTATATACATTTAAAAAAATCCACTTTATCTACTATATAAAATTCATGGTTTTCCTATGATACAAAACGGTACGGCCCTTCGCGCCTTAAAGCTGGAAGATATAGAAGCGAGAAATTGGATGTTCTGTGAAAATACCTACTGTTGGGCAGACCGACAGACCGAACCTATCGAGATTTTGTTTGACTCGGATTCCTAGTGCTTCAAAACGTGTATTTCCGTCAAAAAGTATAGAGGGTCATTTTTCACCCCAATGCAATACCTCCCTTAGGTACTAACGTGTGGGTGGTAGAAAATTTGGCCCATCCGTCACTCTTTTACCCTTACCCTTGCCGTAACGTTTCTGGACAGTAAGAGTGGACAATAATTTCTGTTCGCCCGTCCCTTACTGAATTATGCCCAACTTTTATTGGTGGTCACTGTCGACCTAAATTTTATATTGTAATAAAATGAAGTGCGACCGTTCCTCTAATGTTCCATTTCATTTATTATCTTTTTACAAGAAGGTGCCTTTCTCAAATTTTCTGAAAAACTTACTTTATATAATCAGTGAGGTACAGCCATGATTTCTACTGGTACGTACTGTTTCTGTTAAGCATGTATTTTTTGAAAACCTTGTATCTTGTAATGAGGGGCGTCCAATAACAAAAAATCTCGATCCAGTCGTCCTTCCATTGGTCCATTGCTTCTTATAATATTGCTGGTGAAATTGTTTGGAAAGGTTTCTTGTTGTAATTATTGGCGTACAATAAAAACTCGGCGTCCGTTTGCCCATGGCTTTTTTATCGAATGGCGGTTGACGTGGAAATTAATCATTTTCTTGGTGTATTTCCCGTTCGTCCGTCTCTCCATTAGACCACGACTTTTGGCCCATTTGTTACTGGAAGGTGACATTTTTCTTACAATTTTCTCAAAAGAGTTAAAGCGAACAAAGAAATTAAATTCAAAAGACCCGAAGATAAAACGAAAACGGACAGGCAAAAATTAGAACCGTCCAATAAAAATTAGTACTTACCTACGGGAAACGGGCGACTTCTCCCATTTGAAAAAATGGATGAAAAATCAAAATTGAGGGTCCTGATGAACATTTGTACCCGAAACGCTTAGTCAGCACACTTTTAGCCTGTAAACAAAATTTGACTTAATTATAGAGATAAAAGTGTGCGCGCTAAGTGCCTTTCCAAAGGAATTCGGTTAGATACTTCTCCAATGCCTTACGCTTTGTCGGTCTACTTCGCCATTTGTCGATTATTAGCAGTAACGCGCGCGATATCGAATAGTGAGGTGCAAGTGTATGGTCTCCTACAATGGTCATTGGTAAAAATGGTTCTTCTTCACTTGGAGAGATCAAAATGATAGGGCTTGGGGTGAGTTATTACTTTCCTTAATTAGTTGCGTAGTTTTGGCTCATGATACCGAAAAGTTGGGATGTTAGTCATCGTTCCAAACGGTATTTTGGCCACAAATGTCGTGGCGTAGAAGTCCAAAGAAAGTAATTTTGGATCTTTTGATTAAACTAAGTACACGTAGTGAGTATAGCGAAGGTCTATACTTTCTTCGAATATCTTTAAGGATGCTTAAATTGAATTAAAAAATGTATTATTACCTACAACTACAACATGTGCAAAGATAACGCGCCGCGTCATCAACACCTGGTTGCATTTTGAAGACAATTATCAAATGACCGCGCGTTTATCTAAAGAAACAAATTTAAATTGAATCATTTTTGTACATAAATTAATGCTCTTATCATGGAGTGGTACTGCACAGTTCAAAAGTTTTCAGAGCTGCAAAATTGAATTGCGCATTCGTTACAATTTTGGAATTAACTCGCAATTGCACTTACAAAATATTCTGTTCATACGTTGAAAGTAGGTAATTGCAGCAAAAGACACTCATTTTATTCGACTTTGTAAAACGGCAGAGTGCAGGTAGAATTTATGTACGGCGAGCCGGTATTTGCCGGAAAAGTTTCTACCGGATTGCCGTTCTTATGCACACAAAAGGCGTACAAAATACAACGACCCATAAACTAAAATTTTCATTTTTGTGATAAAACAAATTTCAGCTCACCCGTCTCCCCATTGGTCCATTAATTCCGGTAACTTTTTAAACTAAAATTTTCGTTTAGTAGTCGTCGAGGTAGTCGTGTACAATAAAAAAATTCAGTCCGACCGCCACTCCACTTGCTCATAGGAACAGATAAATTTTTACTGCTCTCAACTTGAATTTTTTAGATAGTTTAATTCTTGCAACTGGAATAAAATCAATTCTCCCGTCGCCCCCGAATTTTGCCATGCAATCATTTTTTTTCCTGGATTGTACTCCCCACCTCAAATTTTTTGCAAAGGATCCATCTCGTACAGAGCTCCTTATATCATATGGCTTCCTTCTTGCTATGCGTCACATACAGTTAAAAAATCTCCATTCGTCCATTCTTCCATCTTCCGCAGACAGATTTTGCACTAGGTATCGTCACGTACAATTAAGAAATTTCTTTTCGTCCATCCGTCCATCTATTGGTCCCATCCTCTTTCATAACTTTTCACTCGAAGGTGCTCTCAACTTAAAATGTTCTGTAATGGGCCCTTCTTGTATGGGTTTGGAATTAATGGAAGAATCTCTGTCCGGCCGCCCGCCCCTTCATTTAACCACGCTTTCTGTTAAATTTGCACTACTGTAGTAACTACAAGTGAAAATTAATTTTCCTTCTTGAAAGAGTTGCGTACAATAAAAAAAATCTTTGTTTATTCGTCCTTCCATTGGTCCATGGTCTTTCACTTTTTATGAAAGATACTCCTAAATTTGCCGCACAGCATTTTTTTTTGTAAGGGATGGGAAAAAATTTCCCCCTCTCCCTCACTCTCTAGTTAATCATGCCTTCAGCTAAATTTTTACTGATGTGTGTCGTTCACTTATAACATTGTCAGTTTTTCGGTGACATCTTAGTTATTTTCAAACATTTTTAAAAATTTTCAAATGTGTATTGGAAATTTACGTTCTATATTGTGCCCACGTTTCGTTTGCTACTACATTACTCCTATTTAAACTTCAATGAACAATAAAAAAACTTGGCACTTTCTTACACAAGAAATACACATTTTATAGCTAACCAAAATTGAACTCATTTAGAGGAATATCCTCATTTAAACGTAGATTCTAAAAGAACCAAA